AGTAATTCTCTAGGTGACAGATTATCCTCAGATCCCACCATTGTGATGGGTGGATCAAGGAAATAGTCTTAATAAAAGATTTTCATTTGACATTTTATCAAGGCTTACGCCATGCATTTCATAATTACATCATGTGCACGACGTAATAACAGACTTTAAGTTGTTAATAAAATAAATAAACAATGATTAAGGAAACATAATAATGAAATTAAAAATAAAAGTTTAAATAGGATAATACATGATTAGATGCTACCGTTGATGAAACAGGTGTCACGGAGTGACAATCCTTCCTTATACATTTCTATACTCTCAAACCCAACTCAAAAACTCATACACCAGCTTTTTATTCTTTAAACGAATCTAAAATCAATTTATAATTTCATTAAATAGAACTAATTTAATAAATGACTAATCGCACTTAAACAAAAAATATTGGTGGTTTGAAATCAAAATAATGATGTTTTGAAAAAGTAACAGGTTTGAAATCAAAAGTGGGAGGGACAATGGCAGATTTTGTGCAGCATAAGAAAGGGGAGATTGATCGTGGCTTATGGAACAGCCCGATTTGAATTTTATTAAGAAAAACTACAACCAAAGTTGATATCCAAGATTCGAGGGAAGGATGCGGTTTTCATGCCGAAAAAAGAGGTGAACCTTGTCGGACCGGACGATAGGAGGATGGCAGTGCACCACGTGCTTAGAGAAAGGAGAGAAAAATTCCAAATAAGGTGGACAGCTTGCGGTTCTACAGCAGCAAAAGGTGCGCTTGAATTTCCAAAACAAACATCATTCAAAGAGTTGTTCCTTTTTTAACTTAAAAGAAACGGTGCAGCAGCAACAGATGTGCTTGAATTTCAAAATAAGTAGCACTCGTGCATATGATTGTAAGTTTAAAATAAAAAATAGGATGAGTCTTGGGTTAGTAAATAATAGCCTTCTTCCACCTATCAAGAATATATTTTGGATTGAAAACATAAATTCATAATAAGTTATATCTAAATAGATCTAAATCTTTACTGATATGAGATTTTCATGATAGATATTAAAGTCGAGCTAGTTCCTAACCAATGTAAAGATCCTCACCTCTATAGGTAAAGAGTTAGGGTGTTGCACAATTGAGTAATATGAAATGTCCCGAATCCATATCAATAATATATGAGGTGGATTTTGTGTTAATAAATAAAGATCTTCCTGTACCTTAATACTTAGCTTACACAGTGACGATACCAAGTATGATCAACCTCTTAATCTACCACTTGAAATAATTCTACGCATCTTTGTACACTTTCTATCACAAGCATTGCTGCTTCACTGTTTGCTTCTCGCATCACATGGGTAACCTTCCAATTTGTAATTAAGAACTGCATATTTTCCATCTGCACCAGTCATTTCATAAACCTCCAAGGGTCTCTTGAGGATGATTTATCCATGATACTGTATTCTTCGAATCACTTTCATTCCACAAGTTCACCTGTTTTATGTCGCATATGATTGATGAATATGATAAAAGCTTATCTAATGACTTAGTAATTTTTCAAGATTTGAGTCCACCATACCAATCAACTGTGAGAGCATACATTTAATTAATCCACCATTATCATGTAAAATGTTGCCAATTCCAACCTTTGTCAGATTTCTTGAGGTAGGCCCATCAACGTTGAACTTCACCCATCCCTCTTGTGGTGCCATCCAAATAACATTTGGTTTAACTTCTTTGACTTTCTGTATAAGTTTCACCTCTAAAGGGCCAAAAATGTCTTCTATTAATAACATATTGCAACCCACTTTTTCATGAGATCATAGAGTTGTAAAGCAGCCCACGTGCCTCCATTAAATATATTCTACCTCGTTCCGAAACAATCATATAAACCAAACTATTGCATAGAACCCAAGGATTTAAATTGTTTCCCGATACCCACTAACGTACAAAGATCTCCATGACAAGAAGAAAGACTTTGGATCGTTTGGTGCAAGTTTATTATAATTTCCAATCCTAATAATAAATTTAATTTATATATATATAATATTTTTAATTACTTTAATTGTTGTCAATAGAACAATTTTTTTGGTAATAATTTTGTGAATAACTCTTGATTGATTAAATTTCATCAAACAAGGGTAAAATTAGAGTTTATGAGTAACAAAATCTCATGCCATTATAATGCTAGTCCTAATAGATGTTTACTACTTAATTGTGATTATCTATACCATTCTATCTGCTAAAATAGATCTCATGGGGCTATTATTGGCTGCAAGCCAGCCAGTTATGGAGCCCATAGTTATATAAAATAATAATAATAAAAGTTATTTAAAATCATTGTGATAGATATAATTTTGATTTTTTACAATAAAAATAAATTTAAAAATTCACTAGATCATATAAAAAGATAACAAACTTAAAAGATATCATTAGATCATATAAAACGATATATTAAAAAAATCATTAAATTATATAAAATAAGTATTCATATTTATTGCACGCAGTATTTATCATTAAAAAAATTCATATATAATTTTACCCTTTTCTTTTTTGAAAAGCTGGAAATATATTAATGTTCAAGGAAACTTACAAAGTTGCAGTTTAGCAACAAGGGGTCTCAGAAAAAATAGACCCACTTAATTCTTGGATGTCTTTGTGCTGTATTATAGTGGTGATAAGAGTAAATCTCATATTAGTTAAGTTTGAAGTATTTCGAGTAACAAATATAATAAGAATTTTTTATTTATTATTAATTGATTTTATATTAAATATTTATCTTAAAGTTTAATATAATATTAAAGCAATATAGGCTGAACAATCTATTTAAAACATTTTTTTCAATGGTTGATAGAAACTCAGGAACCTCAATTGTCCATTGAATACCACAAGGAAAAAACACTATAAGAAAACTTGTTTTTTCTGAAGGCAAAAATTCTATTTGAAATTTTTTCGTTGGAAATTTTCAAAGAATTTCAAACGTAATTTCGACGGAAATTTATTTTAATTTTTTCGACATATTGCTGACGAATTTTCAATGAAATTTTTCAAAAGAAAATTTTCGTTGAGAATCCGTTGATATTTTTTTTGGCACATAAAAAAAATTACATCTGTCAAACTTTTCGACGGATTTCCGTTGGAATTTTCTACAAAAAATAATTTATTGGAAATTCATAGAAAAGTTAAGGGGCAAAAAAATTGTAAATCCCGCTAAATTTCTCAATGGAATTTTTGAATAAAATATTCAGTTGAAAAATTTGGTCAATATTACTATTTTTTAAATTATTGGATGATAAAATCTAATAATATATTAAATAAAAACTAATAATAGTTTAGGTACATACTAATATTAGTTAATATAAATTATAAAAAGATTAATATATATAGTCAACTTATAATTAGTATAATATATTTAAAATATATTAGTTTATTTTATGTATGCAAATTATATATATATCTAATTATATATAAACCTATATTAATATGAAATTAACTGTTATCTATTTTAAATGATATACCTTTATAGGTTAATATATATATGAGATATTAAATATCCTACATATATATTAATATGTTATAATTATTACACATATGTTTTATATGTTAGCTTATAATAAATTTTATTTATATGATTGCATTTAATAACTTTGTTAGTAACTATTACCTTAGTTTTTATAACAAATTATTTACAATTAATTATTAGTTATACAAAGTTTGTAATATATATAATATTATAACATATAATTTGTGTCATTAATATATATAAATAAAGTAATATAACATTATAATTTACATTGATTATATTCATATAAGATAATTCTAATATTATGTTGCTTATATCATTCTTTGCAACTACTTTCATACTATAATTTTAATAATTGAATTGATGAGTACTGTATCAATATAATAAAATACTTGATGTATACTAATATTAGTTGATATAAATTAGCAAGAATTGATAGTAAATTTAATTAAATAATATACTTAATATATTAATTTATTACACATTAATAATGTTTCGTAATATAAAATGTTATATATATTTGGATAAATATATTATATATATTATTTTTACATAAATATTACTATAACTTATAATAAGTTTTACTTATATGATTATATTACTATCTGAATTATATGAACTATATATATACATATAACCTGTATTAAGTATAATAACTATATATATACATATTATTATATATATATAATTGTAACATACATATATTTAATTTACGTATAAGCATTTTTATAACTTATAATAAGATTTACTTGTATGATTATACACACTTAATGAATTTACCAGTTATTATCGTTCTTTATAATATATATATATATATATAGAGAGAGAGAGAGAGAGAGAGTTTAGTAGTTATTATTATAGATACAAATTTTGTAACATATAAAATTATAACATATATTAATTTGATATACTATATAATATAAATATATAACTTATATATATTGATATTTAAGTAAGTTATATTTAATAAAAAATATATTTACTTAATAACTAATAAACAATATATATTATATAAACAACAAAATAGTATTATATATTTGATAATATTAATTAATATATAATATATTATATTTCTCTATAAATGATATTTTATAATATAGTTTATGTAGTAAAATTTATAATAAGTATATTAATGGTTCATTAAATAATATAATATATATAAATCACTTTGATTGTGGTAGGACTCGAACGGAAGGATTGAAAATAATAGTTCCAAAAGTCTACTACTTTACCAATAGTTAATTTTGATAATTGTTGAAACTATAACTATCTAATATAAAGTCTATATCAAATACTATTATAACCGGACATGCCCAACTTTTTCCCCAAATCTTTCTCCAAATTCTAAATCTTTCCAGCCCTAGGCTCATCCCCTGGCCCTTGCCACCCCTTGCCCTGCCTTGCGCTTTGCTGCCTCTTGTCGACGCAGCTTCCATCTCCAAAAGAGTCCTTCCGCTGCTTGTGGTTTCCTTGCTGCTCGGAAGAGGAAATGTAAGTGCCCCTATTTCTTTTACGTCTGAACATTAATTTTTGTTCTTGTTTTTATTTTGTTGTTTGCTGTGTTGTTGAGTCTCCTTCCGCATCTGGGTTTGTTTTTGTTTAGCTATTTGCCTGGGTTTGTTTCTTTATGTACTCGGTTTGTTCTGGTTGACTCCTTTGGTAAGAGTATGCATTTGCGTTTGTAGCTTTTTAGCTCTTATTTTCCTTGAATGTGGTGTTTATTTTAATGAAAAGTTCATTAACCCGAAAATATTGAAAAAAAGGGCTGATGTGGATTTATTTCTTAGCAAAAGTATAAACTTGTATACTTGCTGGAGCTGGTGTGCATGTGTTTCTTTGTAAAAGCATAAACTTTCATACTGATGCCCTAAGTTATGTGTTTTGGTTTAAGTATATTAAATGTGAATGACCGTGACGTGTAATGTGCGCCTACAAATATGTTTGAAGAGACTGTGATTAGATGTGAAATGTGCGTGAATGGGTCATAATTAGGCCCTAAATCTATGAGGAACTCTTGATTGTGGGATTCAGATAAATGCAGTGTGAAGGCAATAAGAAGGAAGACCACTAGTGCTGGTAGGATGAGGTATCTTCGCCATGCCCCTTGCAGGTTCAAGAGTGGTTTCAGTGAAGGTAACAGCAAAATGCAGTAATTTCTTTTATACTTGTTCTTGTAGTACTGGTAGTTTCTTTGCAGGTGATGTTCATTCTTAACATTATTTTTATTTGGTTTTTCTCATAATTTGTTTGTTGGATTGTGATTAAGTCCTCAAGCTGCCCCAAGGAAGCAGGTTGCAGCAGCTTCAGCATAAAGTGCTGTCAGATTGTTTGGAATAAGCTGTTTTATGGGAACATTACTTGAGGAGCTGTTATTACATTGAATGCTTTAGTTGTTATTAAATTTTGAATTTTAGTTTTTAATGCATGTCTCTTATAAATTTTGAATGTGAATTATGGATGTCATTTAATAATTTGTTATCAAAATTTTATTTGGTAATTTTTGTTGGAGAGATATTATTGACGGAACAACAAAATTTTTGTTGGAAATGCATTAGTGAACAAAATTTCTGTCGAAAATTTTCCGTAGAATTTTTCGTTGAAAATGAAGAAATTCCGTGAGAAATTTCCAACAAAATTCCATGAGAAATTCTTTTTCTATCAAAAATTTCGTTGCAAATGCATTTCCAATGGAAATTTTTAACAAAATTTCCTATGGAATTTTGTTGGAAATGCTTCTTCAACAGAAAATTTCATTGGAAAGCATTTCCAATGGAATTGATATGATACAGCTCACGAATCATGCACTTTTTTTGATAAATTTTCAGCAGAAAGTATTTTCGTTCGAAATTTTTCATGAATTTTCAATGGAAAGTATTTTCGATGGTGCTTTTACCGACAGAATTTTCAATAGATTTTTCTATTGAAAATCTATTGGAAAAAGACATTTCCAACATAATTTTATCTTTTTTTGACGTAAAATTTCGTCAAAAAAAGCTTGCTTTTTAGTAGTGAAAGAAATGAAATATTCAGTGCAAAGGTTGTGACAGAGAAAAGAAAACATGATTTTTTTTTGAAGGGTGGTGATGGAGAAAAGAAAAGGAGATAGTGTATCGGTTATGTGGAGTTTGAAAATATTGAGTGGCTAGAAAGGAGATTAGTAGAGAGAGTTGAATACCACATGGAGGCAGGTGAACTACAAAAACATATTCAAGATGGGATGCAATGGAGGCTAAGCATTTCCTTAATCTCTTTTAGTAATGACGAGTATAGGGAAACAAAAGCAAGAGGTTGGGCACACATAAAAAATTGGTTCCAAAATCAATTAGAGTTAAAGTTAGGGGGAAGGAATTAGAGTACCAATTTCAACTCTATTAGTCATGGAAATATATATATATATATATATACATATATTAATTAGAGTTCCAAACTACTACCCTAAAACCATAGTATTTTTTATATTTATCTTTATACATCTCATAATATTCTAACTAACCCAAACTCTAATTAATAAATATTCCCATGACAAAAAATTAATGCCTTACTATTTTAACACTCTTATTTTACAAAAATGTCATTCTATAAGAGTACCAAGACTCTCAAGTTTCTTGAGGTTGCTCAAGAAAACTTTTGACTAATTAAACAAATGCCTTTTTAAGTACTAGAACATGAAATCTATATTTCCAATGGTATGTGTAGAAACCTTTTATTTTCTTTCATAAATACGAAATTCACTATCTTTTAATTATAAAGCAAATACAATAAAGTCAAAAGTAAAGGAAAGGAAGAGAGAGAAATATGAGCAAGAAGTAATGAAATTTGTCATGAATTTGTCACGAAATCAGGGGTCGTGCTTAGTGCAGGAGTTTAGCAAATGGAGCCTGCAAGACTCGAGCGAGCCTCAGAATATCCAACAGCAATGTACAAATTCGACGGTTCACAACTGCAATATACACATTCCTGGTTTAGATTAAACATTTTAAACAATGCCTCTTTGGCACATAGTTTACACACATAACCATATATTTTAAATGTAAGCCATAGGTTGGCTAACACTGTGGGTACATCTTGTACAACAACTAACAAAGGTAGATGACAACATAGTGCCAACATAGTCCAACAACATATTATAGTTTGAAAATTAAAAATCGAAACTAGAAGACATCAAAATGCAAGTGAATGACAAGAATGATGAATGTGCATGTCAAGGTGGCCATCAAACCCAAATAACGTAGGAGGTGAGGAGAGTAGGCGATGTCTCTTGTGATGGACTCAAGATGGTGGAGGAAAGTGAACATGAAATTGCTCCTTAAACAGCTACTGACGATGAAGTAGCTTTCAACTTTGAGCCTCCAAAGCATCCAACTTGTTAACCACACAAGCATCCATAGATTCCGTAAAAGACAATAGTTGAGTCAAGGCTTACTTAGAGTCAAAGGTAGTGGACATAGGAAGAAAGCTAAGGTCGACACTCTAGTGCACACTTGGACTTCTATTAAGGGCTACACTATGCTCAGCAAAGTTGTCCTCATTTCCCTTATCCTTAACAAGATCAAGTTCATTACTGATTTCTTTACCCACCCAAGAACAGTTGACATACACTTTAAGCTTGGTTATGGCATGTTCTTTGATCTTCGTATTCATGGCATGTTGTTTAAGTGGGTCAATCCTAGTGTTGATACCCATGGAGTCAATAATAGCACTAATAGACTTGTTAATGATTTTCAACATGTTGTCAAGAATGAATTTGACTAGCTGGACATGGTGGTTGGATTTAATGCAGTAAAGAAACCAAGAATCCTCACTTTTAACGGTGGAATAATTTATGCCATAAGGGTGAAAGGTATGTGATAACTCTATGATATAGAGTTATTTGGACTTAATTTAGATAGTAATTTAACTTAGTTCTTATAGTAATGCATAGAAATTAGTAGATTTTATTTAATTATTTTAAATTAGTTATTTTAGGTGAGTCAATCTAAGCATAGTTAATTTTATACTTAATTTGGTGTTAATGTGGTTAAGATAAGTTGTTATTAATTTATTTGTGCTTTTGTAGGTGTTTAATGAAAGAAGAATTTTAGTATGAGACATGATGAGGTGGAGAATATGATTGTAAAAGGATAGACACTTGACACTAGTCGTATTCTTGTCATTAGTGGAAGGGTAAGTATGCATAGTGGATAGAATCTCATTGGAAAAGACCTCCTCGACATAGCCTCGATCCCCTTAATGAACATTAAAGTCTAGGACAAATTCTAGGGTGTGTTCAGCTACCACAATTTTTGTACCCATGACATAGGTAGAGAACCTATCAGTGTGTTCTACGAGTACGCTATCTTCATAGTCTTGAAATTTTGTGGTTCCATTAAAGTAAAACACCTTAACTAAATCGGCATAATATGTTTAGTTCATTGACAAGTAATTGAGCCCGCCTAATTCTCAAAAATTATCAATGTATGAAAAATTAATGCTTTAGAGATATTTAAAGTCGATTACTCATTTCGGTTTTACATCTTGCTTGGTGTAATCCTTGTCAAATTTGAACTCTAAGGAAGGGTGAGAGAAGTTCCACTTGAAGGAGCTATCATTGGTGTGTGGTGTTGGTGATGGTAGTGGTTGGGAGGAGGTGGTAGTGTTTTGGTTTTAGGCCTGATGGTTGGAAGTAGTGGATTTGGTGTGTTTAAGTAGGGAGGCTGTTTGAGTTTTGATTTTGTGAAAAAAAAACTGATAAAAGTGATCAAAGGCGTCTAGGAGGACTTGTAATCGGTGACATTGACCTAAAAATCAAGCAATTTAAAAAAATTAAAGAAAAAATGATGGTTTAAGTAGTAAAAAATTGTTGGAAATGCTTTAGTCAGTGTGGATTAGAAGGAAAAACAAAAAAAAAATTAAGAGTTGAGAGAATTTGGAAAAGGAAAAGGCGTAGAATGGAGAGAAAATGAGTTGTCAAACTTTTAAAACCCCAAAATGTATCAATACATGTGCTTGTGCATCTATACATTTATGGCAAGATGTTTTATTTTTGGCTATTGGACGAAATGTATTGATATATTGTATGATATATAGATACATGTTTGTGCATGTATTGATATATTGTATGATATATAGATACATGTTTTTGCATGTATTGATACATGTAATCACATGATTTTAATTTTGGTTATTAGATTGATTGTATCAATACATTTTCAAATGTATTGATACATGTTCTTAAAGGTATTGATGCATGGAGAAAGTATCAATACATCAACTTCTTTAGCCTAAAACAAATTGATTTTAACTTCAAAAAATCCAATATGGGGTTCTAGACACTTGGTACAATCAAAATAATGTGAGGTTTTGATTTGAAAACATTGAAGATAAAGTTTGGAACCAGTGCAAGCGAAATTTGGAAATAAAATCAAGAGTTTTGAAAGAAATTTGGCTCCCTCAACAACTCTCCCACAAAACTTAAAAGTTAGATGGCCATGGCATGAATGCAGATATATATATATATATATATAAATATGTATGTATGTATACATAACTAAATAACAATCATACATAAGAATTTTATGGACATACAGGTGTGTATATGCACAATTAAGATTCAAGTATTAAACATGAAGTCATTTCAAACATTATCCTTAATTTGAAATAAGAGATACATAAAACACTATGCTTGCTGAACGCAATATAGGTGCAAGAAATAGATGTATACGGCATGCCACAGTCAACATTATGCAAAGTCAGTGATCAAAGGTAGTTACTAGCCAGAATTTTTTTTAGGGTGGATTTATAAGGCTTAATTCATTTCTAATCTTGTAAAATTGTTCCTTATCAAGTGCTTTTGTGAAGATGTTAGCTAATTGATCTTTTGTACCTATATGTTTAAGAACTATATCTCCTTTTTGAACATGATCTCTAATAAAGTAATGCCTTATTTCTATATGCTTAGTCCTAGAGTGATAGGTGGGATTTTTTGTGAGATTTATGGCACTAGTATTGTCACATTTTATGCGAATTCTTTCCATGGCTAGTCCATAATCTTCTAATTATTGCTTCATCCCTAACACTTAAGCACAACAACTTTCGACAGCCACATATTCAGCTTCAGTAATGGATTGAGCTACACTATTTAGTTTCTTTGAAACCATGTGATCAATATACTACTTAAAAATTGACATGTACCAGATATGTTCTTTCTATTTATTTTACATCCACTAAAGTCGACATCTGAGTATGAGTGGAGATAAAAAATGGAACTCCTTGGATACCATATTCCTAGGTTAGATGTGTTTTTTAAATATTTAAAAATTCTTTTGACAGCACTTAAGTATGGTTCTCTAGGAGATAATTGAAACCTAACAAATAGACCTACATTAAAACTTATGTTTGGTTTACTAGTGGTGAGGAAAAGTAAGGAACCAATCATTAATCTATAAAGTTTTTGATTAACGGGCATACCTTTTTCATCCTGGTCAAACATTGTTGATGTGCTCATTGGTGTCCGGTATG